TCAACATCCGTTACTGCTGCTCCTGTACCAACCGCCACTATACATAACACACCCACAAACGTCAACCTCATCAGTGATGTGGACCCGGTCCATACCTGTCCTCAGTGCCAATGTACCTTCGTCTCACACATCAGCCTGGTCGGTCATATGCGAATCCATCGCACAGAGACTAGCGAACCGGTCTCTGGAGCACCAACCTACACTCGCCGCACTCACCTCCACTGTCAACATTGCCTTCGCACATTCTCACGCTGCATGGGCCTATTCGGTCACATATGTTTCCAGGAGAGCGGAAATGATCGCTGTCTCGCCACACCTAGCACCTCTTGCACATCCACCACGTCTAGCTCAACGCACGCCGCCGTCCAGCACACCAACCGCCATCAGCCCCACCACACTCACCACATCCTGCACACGCATCATGCCTAACTCAACACACACCTCGTCGCCCAGCTCTTTCACCATCAGCAGTTCTACCACTGCTAGCATCTTCGAAACCGACGCTAACACCGCCGAACTTCCCTGTACCCATCGTCCCCGGACATTCACCTCAACCATCGGTCTGGCCGGTCACTTGCGAATCCATCGAATAGAGACTGGTTAACCAGTGCCTGGATCACCCACATACAGTCCCCGCATCCACCTCAGCTGCCATCAGTGCACGCGCACATTCACCTACCGCATGGGCCTACTAGGCCACATGCGCACTCACGAAAACCTGCTGTAGACAACTGCCGCCTACGCCACACCATCCCATTTACCCCCATCAACACCTGCATCACACAACATCATCCACCACAAGCATCCAATTGCCACCTTCCACGCAGGTGGGAAGTGGGCGTCTCGGCTCCTTCTCCATGCGGCCCCTCTGATGCATGTATGATTCAAGTCTGGGACTATCACAGTGCGTCAAGCGCCATGGCTTGGAAGGCTGCTGACTGAAGCCCCGGCTCAATTCACGCAGTCTGCCTAGTTGTGTGTATGTGCGGAGTGCGGACTGGTGGGCTGAGATCCGGCCTGAGATGGCTCCTTCTTAGCGTGACCTACGGCACTCTCACGCATGTAAGATATATGCCACCCAATCCCCTTCGTGTGAAATCCTAGTGTTCGTGTTTGGGGAGCCATGTAGTGCATTTTGCGAGCGCGGACAAGGTCACTAAATATGTCAACCATCACGTCCATTCCCCACACCTGCCAAATGACCGGCTCGGACAGCGGCAAGGGCCTGGGAATAGGAAGGGAGAGTGAGGTTGACGACTCAGCGTATTTTCCTCGCTTTAAACAATCTGACGCGCTGGAAGCTATTACGCTGCGATAGAAGCAGTGGCTTGGAAGGTTGTCAACTGACGGGGTAACTAGGACCTCGCTCAGTTGGCTCAGTGTTGTGTTTTTGTGCAGAGCAGCCGACTAGTGGTCTAGGAGTCTGGCCTCAATGGCTGCTTCTCATCGTGGCCTTCATAGCACTCACACTCCGTGAGATCCGAGCCAGGTGTCACGGCACGCCTTGGTGCGACTTCGGTCGCACCAGCCTCTTTGGCTGCTGGTTAACATCCTGCTCATTTGGTGTGTGGACCAGGGGGTGTGGAGTGGAGAGTCAAAGTGCGGGCTCGACCGTGCCATCCACCTGCGCCCTCCACCGCCCCGGTCCTCTTGACTCTGTCTTGACACCGAGTCCGGGTGGGGGAAGAGAGAGTGCGGGAGCTGCCGTGTAGGTCTACATTCACTATAAATTAAATCAGGCGTAATTCACCGTGCCTGCTTCATCTTGCTGAGGAGCACACGGTGGACATCGTCGGATGCGACGGTCGAACTGTCAGAGGCTGGCTTATACTTAGTGTCTGTACCAAGTTGACGTAACCTGGAGGTCTCTGCGATGGGGCCGTTTAGAATTCTTTCCGCTTCAGATTATCATCTGTAGCGGGAAAAATGCAGCATCAAACACATGTTCCTTGCTCCATCGACTGTTTGCTAAGTCCCCTGTCTTGTTAAAAAACGCAAATCGGACGCAGAATCGTTTTGTAATGAGGCTAGTAAAATGAATTATCGTAAATTGTGATTTAAACTGGCGATACCTTAGAATACCCGACGTTTCCTGTTTACCTGCTCCATGTAATCGCCATTTGAGACGATAAAAATGAAATCGGAATAAAAGAGTGGAGGATGCCGACTTTTAATCCAACTGCCATGTAGAGCGACACCACTATCGGCGAAGTAAACTGACCAAACTACGTTAACTTGAATCGAACCTTCACGACTATAATTTGGTTGTGTGACTTCTTTCCAACGGCCTTTAGTAGTAGTCAGTCACTACCCATCTCTCGTTGGACTACTGCGCCCTGTTTATGACTGATGGGTGTTTACAGGCAGCAGCTTCCCCCATTTGTGCTCCAGAGAGTATCCGGTCACGTGATCCGCCTCAAGGCACCGACTTGGCATGAAATACAAACTGTTAACTTATGTGAATAGCCACCCCATCCGTATTTATCGCTGGGACTAGCTGAAGGTTGGCTTTTGAGAAGTTGTTTGGGAGCGGCGCACACCGCTCTGTCCTGATTGAATAACGGAATGGCCACCTCCATCTCGCATTGGATGCTTTGCCCTAGCGCATACGCAAGTGGTGGCATGACGGCTGGTAATAAATAGTGCGTTAATGCTGTCGACATGGACTAGACCCAGACTTCCACCAAGTCTTTTGAGTGCTATATCTTGAAGTCGTGACACATGTATTGAAGCCATCCAACCCACGTCCGACCTTCGGTATTTGCGCTCTTGCATATTGTAGCACGACAAATATAAGCATACTTGCTAGCCAAATATCGGCAAGGAGAGCACGTAGAAGCATATTCTTTCTTATCTAGTATCCCCAATTCTGCATTCGAATGCAGATGGAAAACGTCAGGTGACTACACTCTACCGCCCCGAGATCGATCCCTCTTATCGCATAAACGATAAAGATAACTTGCCAGCTGCTATTGGCTGCCGCGAGCACGAAATTAAAACAGCTAAGACCTGGCAAGTGGGAGTAAATGCATTATCCAACAATTATGGTTACCATCGAAGCAGTTCTTCGTCCACCAACCCTCTACTCCGAAAACTTATTTACTGCAGTGGAAATGGAAAATTGTGACCTCATTTCAGACCCACGCGGTTGCGATTCGCGTGCGTTTTGCTGGAGTCACGATCAGTAGCCCTTGTGTCAAGTTAATAGTTAAGAGAAGTTGTAACAGGACCGAGGAGATTGAAATTGCTGTCTCTGGTCTGTTTCTGTCGGTGCACTGCTTTAAGTCTATGAATGATCCAGTTTTCAGATCCCAGAACGAGTTAGA